CCTCTGGATTACCTCTCCCGAGTGCTGAGATTACAGATGTATACCATGCCACCACACTTGGCTTGTTTGTTGTAAGCACAGTATGAGATGTCAACTCCTCCTGGCTTTCTTGCCTCTAAGTTGGCTTATGGTGTATTGTTGATTTTGAATTCCAGGAAAATGAGAATGGCCTTCTCCAGGTGCCAGGTTGTGAGTGGGCAGTGTTCCGATTGGCCCATCCTGGAGTCATCACTCAAATCGAAATCGATACAAAGTACTTTAAAGGTAAACCTCAAGTCAGGCAGAACCTTATGGCCAGCGTGTCTGCTGTCTGGTAACAGGTCTGTGGGAATCCGCTGAGGTTTTGGTCTTCCCATTCAGCCGTGCAGCTTTGAGGACTGTCACTCTAATTCTGTCATCCACTGTCCCTAGAGAAGTCCTATTTGGTTGGGTGGCTCTGAAGGTCATCTTGTTGAAAGCCATGAAAAGAAGGTTGCAGCTGTAGGACAGAGCTCGTCTCGACTCTCTAGGCTGTGAGCCAGTGACTTAGAGAGACAGGCCCGAGACCCACATGGGATTCCAGGTCGCCTTGAGGCAGGCTCCTCTTGGAAGGTGCAAAGAGCTCGTGAGAAAAGCAGAGAGGGGACCCAGTAGTAAAAAGAATTGGGACAGCGGCGGGTTATACTTGCTTTCTTATGAAATATATATGTTTCCCACTATATTAAGAAAATCAAAGAGGCTACAGAAGTGTCTGTTAGGTGTTCAAAGTGTTAAGGATTGGGCATCTCATGATTGTTTAGCTGTCTTTATAACAGATGGTGGCAGTTTATATTCATGTTTTGGATGGTTGAGGTTTTTTTTTGAATTACTTCCAAATCATAATTTTTAATATTGATTATATGAAGGCTCAGTAATACAATGAGGGTCAGGTTCCTTAGTGGGTATAAAGTTTTTCAAGAACTTTTATATTTTTGGCTCCCTTTTGGTAGACTGCTGTTTATTTAGTGAGTGGTATATGTGTGTATTTGTGTGTGTGTGTGTGTGCGCGCGTGCGTGCGTGCGTGCGTGCATGTGTGTGTGTGTGTGTATGCAGGTGGATGGGGGTCAGAGGCTGGTGTCATATGGAAAGACCTCATTGGAGATTACACTTCTGTTCTCACTGATCATTGAGACTGACCAACTTATCCTGAGGGGCAGGTGACATGCCAGCTCTTTTGTGTATGCTTGAACTTTAATAGCATCTTTAGTCCACACTTCTCTTCATGACTGGTGTAGGATACCCTATTTGTTTTTATGAAAGAGTTTTGACAAAGGCAACGGGCAATAAATCCTACTAACCAATACTCCAAACAGGTCATGAAAATAAGCTGCTGGCCCTTTGGGATCTTGTGGGGACACTGTGGTGAGATTCAGGAGGGAGGGAAGGAGTATGGCAATATATTCCTGGTATCAAGAATAAATAAGCTATGTCCAGTTGGATCAAGGATGCACAGGTTAGTATGTACGCAAATGTCAGGGACAAATACGGCATCTCTGGTGTTCTCCCCACATTCATACATGACCCACATGCAAGGCTACTTTCCCAGGAGATGAACACTAACGGGGCATGCAGGCAGTGAGGGCTTTCTGCCAGGGTTCTGAGTCTCCATCTTGGAGTATTCCTCACAAGACCATGTGACCCTTCCTCGAGGGCCTCTGACCCTTGCACACAATTCTATGAAGTTCCAAAGAGAAGAGAGAGACTCAAGGCTGTATTCTTTCACCTGGAGACCATTTAGCAATCCTGGGGCACAGGATATTTGACGAGGACTCAAGTTTATGACTATAACCTCTCCTCTTTTTTTCTTTTTTGTTTTCACTTGAAACATTTATATTATTTTTATGTGTAGGTGTGACTGTGCAGGTAACCATGGTGATGGCTAGATGGGGGACAGATCCCCCCCCAGCTGGAAATAAAGGCAGTTGTACAGCGCCCTTAACTACCGAGCCACCTCTCCAGCCCCAGAATTTCTTTGTATTGTTATATTACAAAGTGACATTGTAAGGCAAGTAGTTCCCAGGTCCTCCTTGATTTCAGAGGTGCTACGTAGCAGTAAGCAAGCAATTTAGTTTGTAGTCTATGATGCTTACTAAGTATATCCAACTTTCAAGGTATAACTGCATCCAGCAAATACACGGCTGACTGCTTCTCGTCCCTACGAACTGCACACACTCCTGTACTCCACAAGGCAGTCCAGCTCTATCTTTTCTTTCTCCTACACTATGCTTTTTGCTTAGGAGGAACTCTGGCTTGCTCTTGAATTTTGTTGTTGTTTTGTGGTGCTGGGAATTGAACCTAGGGCCTCATACACCCTAGGCAAGTGTTCTGGGTTTCAATCTGGTTAAAATACCTGTATCCTAGAAGCTGAGATATGCTGAAGGAAACAGTTCCCAAGTCTCTGTTTGCTCCCACAGGCAACTCTCCTGACAGCTGCAAAGTGGATGGGTGTGTCCTTACCACACAGGAAGAGGAAGACATGGTCAGGAACAAGTGGACTCTTCCTGATCATAAGTGGAAGCCATTGCTTCCGGTCACCAAGGTTCGTGGGGTGCAGTTTGAAGACTGACCCTCAGTCTCTGGAGGAACCCGGGACCTTGTTTATCCTATGCATCTCCCAACCACTGAGCTCCACCCCTACACTTCTCCCTACCACCGAATTCCACCCCTACACATCTCGTTACTACTTCTGTTTCACCCCTGCAACATCTCCTTACTGTTGTGTTCCACCCCTACACGTCTCCCTACCACTGAGCTCCACCCCCACACTTCTCCCTACCTGAGCTTTACCCCTACACATCTCCCTACCACTGAACTCCACCCCTACACATCTCGTTATCACTGAGCTCCACCCCTACACTTCTCCCTACCACTGAGTTCCACCCCTAGTCTTTTTTTATACTTTTAGAGGCAGAGTCTTGATGAGTTTTGCAGGCCAGCCTTGAACTTATAATCCTCCTGCCTCTGCCTCCCAAGCAGCTAGGATTTTAGCTCTTCAAATTAACTTTCCTAGAAGTCTTTGCTCAGTTTAGCAGTAAAATGAATGTAAAAAGCCACGCCTGTGTTTTCACAGGGGAGGACGGATTCTGTGACTTTTTCATGCCTAACAATCAAAACTTTTGTTAAAACAAAACAAAAAGCCATCGTATGCTAAGAATGCATACACAGGCAAGTGTTTCTGTAGTACATTTAACTTATCTGAAGGGTGCCCAGCACACTTAAAGTTGCCATGCTGTGCCCATCTTCAGGATGGACACCCTGATACATGCTAGAGTGTGTTGGACCAGGGAAGTAGTCACCATGGGTGTGGTGAGATTCTGGGTAGCCCTGAAGACACTGGATTACTTCCTCTTTCATTTGATTATTTCATCTACTTATTACATACCATGACACTTGAACATGTATACCATCGTCACATAGGTATCCTTTCCCTATTAGCAGATTTCCATTAGACCAAATTATTCCTGAAAAACTTTTCTTAAAATCCCCTAAGGCCAAGCTGGACTGACTTTGCTGGGAGAGTTATAGATAATCCTCCTACAAGGACCTTGCATCTGCCTTTTTTCCCCAGTTATTTCCCAACCAAACTCACGTGTTGGACAGCCTGACCCTGGAGCTCCAGGATGTCATCACACATGCCAAGCTTACCATCACCCCGGATGGGGGTATAAGCCGCCTTCGGCTCAAGGGCTTCCCCAGTTCCATCTGTTTGCTGCGGCCCCTCCGGGAGAAGCCCATGCTGAGGTTCACTCTGAAAGCAGGCTTCAAGGCAAATCTTTAAACAGCTCATCCATGATAGTAGTCACCCACCATCTTCAGTGTTCTGAACACCTGGGTGTTTAATAAAGTGATCACCCCACAAATTGGTCTTTGTCTCCTGTTGCCCACCTATTTGGTAGTTTAGAAATTGGCCATGGCTATGAATGGTGGGTAGCTTCCTGAAAAGGCATTTTTTTTTTTTTTTTGGAAAAAACAATACAAAATGGTGATAGTTGAATCTGCACCACTTGTGTGTAGATTCAACAGATAATACATACCTGATGGCTCTGAGAACTTGTTTGGGCACATTAAAACCTTTGGGGGAAGTGTTTCTAGAATCATTTATTCAAGAGATAATGGGCCTGAATAGAGATGACTTTACCAAAGATCTCTCTCTCTCCACTCCATCTGCTGTGTATACTGAAATGCCACACATTTGGAGTTCTGGGTACTAGTGCTGATGGCAGCCAGTCCCTCACATAGTGTGTACTGAGCCTGGAGTCCTACACAAATGTGGGATGAAGTTAAGAAACAGAGGGTCAGAAGGTGACATGCTCCCAGCAACCCCCAGTGTCAGTGGTCAAATGGCTTTGGAGTACAGGGCAGTGGCATGCTGGGAGGTCAGGATGGGCACCCCTGGCCCAGCGCCACCTTTCCCCATTCTCTTCCCTGAGCTCCATCACTTCACTTGTCTGGTGTCTGTAGATGGAGCGCTCTCTCTTCTCTCTCTCTCTCTCTCCTCTCAAACTTACAGAGATCTTCATGCTTCTGTCTCCAGATGCGTGCACCACCTCACCAGGCTTCCCCTTTTTTTCTATCTGAGCTCTTCCTGCACCCTCCCAGCCTTGGTTCTGTGTGTCACACCCCTCCCCGATCTGTGTCTACACTTGTGTGTGTTCTCTGTTCCATGCCATTTACCTCTCTGAGCTTCCTGCTACTCCCAATCTGTTTCTCTGTCCTCACCTCTCTGCCTTCTGAACCCTCCCTCTCTGCATGCTTCATGTCCCTGGCCAGTTGCCTCTGTCCTGCCTGGCTCTCCTCTATCGCCCCTCTCCCGCTGGCCCAGTCATAATCGCCACAGGACGTCAGCGTGTGCAGCAGTTTCACAGCCCACTGGCCTGGCAGCCCAGTCCCGCCTGTGGCCCGCAGCTCGAGGGAGCCCGTGGGTTCTCCGCGAGTGTGCTGGGTGTCCCCGTGCACGATTGGGCACGTCCCGACAGTGGCCATGGGCACGCGCGGGCCCTATACGCTGGTGGACACCACGCCGGCCAAGACCATCTTGGTGTACCGCAACGGGGACCAATTCTACGTGGGCCGCAAGTTCGTGTTCTCGCGGCGCCGCGTGGCCAACTTCGAGGCTCTGCTGGAGCAGCTGACCGAGCAGGTGGACGTGCCTTTCGGTGTGCGGAGGCTCTACACGCCCACGCGCGGCCACCCGGTGCTCGGGCTGGACGCCTTGCAGGCTGGTGGCAAGTACGTGGCTGCGGGTCGCGAGCGCTTCAAGAAACTGGAGTAAGTGCGGACTTTGGATCTCTTCCCACCCAGGCCTCTACAGCAGCACACCCTACCCAGCCCTCTGCACACAGCACATCCCTCCCAGAGCCTCATCTAAGGTGTCTGGCAGCAGGGACCACTGTCTTTGGGAGCAACAGGTTATACACAGAACCCGGGCTAATCCGGAGGCGGGGGGGAGGGGCGGGCAACGGGTACAGATTAGTTAGCATTTTCCAGGCACTTTTACTGCTATGAAATAGATGCACGATATTTGACGGTGAACTCAACACAGAGAAGCATTTAGGCTTCATTTTCTTCATCTTTTAGGTTAATGACATGTGAAATCGGGCTCCAGTCTGCTGAATAAAACTATGAAACACTTCTGCACTGACATCAGTAAAGTGCACGGGCCTTAGCGTCTGTAACTGCTGAGCCACTGAGCAGTTAATATTCACCAGATAATAAGATTCTAATTGTGTCACTAGCAAACAGTTGTAAGGGACGCTAGCAGTGCTGGGGTTCCCCTCCTCCCTCCCAGTGATGATCAGGGGCCTGTGGCTTGAAAGGTTTTCACAGAGCAGCTTGCTGGAATACCGTGAATGTGCCGTTTAAGTTCAAGCCTTCCTGGTTCTGCCTTGTCATACGCATCAAAGCCTGGGGGTGGAGAGAGTGTGTGGCAGGCCATGACAGGTGGTGGGAGAGACAGTAAAGGTAGAGTGAGGGAGCAAGGACTCCCTCTGAGTGGGACGGAATAACAACTTTGGGCAAAAGATCCATTCTCAGAGTTCAAGCTCTCATCAGTAATCAGGTAGTGAGTGTCCACCTCACAGCACCAAACAGATTAAATAAATACCCTTCTTCAACTTGCTTGCAGCCAGGGCCACTTTACATCTTCCTCTCCCTCTGGAAACATCAGCAGAGTTGCTCAGTGACCATCAGCCCCGGGGAATTAAGCCTGCTGCAGGTTTCATGTTCCCCCCTTTAGCCACCCTGCTTGCTGGGTCCTGCTCTCTTGGTCTGTTTCCATGTTCTTGGGAGTGCAACACTGAACAACTCATAGCACTGTGTGGTTTTTGTGCCTTAGTTTTCTGAATTATTTTTGCATGTTTTGAAAAATGTAACGGTAGTCCGTTGTCTCCTCTGGGAGACTACTGTTTATGAGAGAACATAAAAACCAGGATCTTAGAGCTGACTAGCAATATGAGCTTGGAGAAATGGAGAGTATGAGGAGGTTAGGAAGGTTGAAGGACACAGGCCTGTGGGCAGGGGCAGTGAGTGGCAGAGTCCTAGGCTGAATATCCACAGGCTGGGCTTTGCCTGGTCCACACAAATTTCAAAGATCAGAGCGTGAACTTGTTTGTTTGTTTGTTTATTTATTTATTTATTTGAGACAGGCTTGCTCTGTGTAGCCCTGGCTGTCCTGGAACTCACACTGTAGACCAGGCTGGCTTCAGACTGACAGAGATTCACCTAGTCATGTCACCGGAGAGAGTTCCACAGGGCAAGGCTAGCTAGTACAGTTGGAGGTGTCCCATGACATGGTGCTGTCACATTGTGATGTGGATTCATTTTGACTTGTGGGGTTGCCTGTCTCATTGCTGACATTGGTTCCTCTTGGCAGAAGCTTCACGGTTCAGTGAGAATATTGCCTTTCTAACTATTCTCTCTCCTTTCTATTTTTTTTTTTGCAGCTATATTCATATAGTTCCCAGAAAACCTACAAAGATGAAAAAGTTGAAGGAAGTAAGTATCTGAGACTAACTAATAAGACGAATTGAATTAGAACACTTTGGCTACAGGCTTATCAATTTTATTAAGCTTTTCATAAATTGTCATCTGGGTTTACTGGTTTTACCATTTCCTGATTCCTATTTTGTTATGTCTTTTCTAATTTGTATTCCCCCCTGTTGTGTAAGAAGGTGTGCCTTTGGGGGAACCTCTTTTTATACCCCTTCTCCATCTCTGCAGGATATGCTCTTCCTTCCCCAGGGATCTCTGTGCTGGATTTCGAGGGCTAATGACTCCTGAGTTTTTGTTAGAGCTGTTTCAGAGACAGTGTCTTCTTGGCTTAAAGGGACCAGTAGGGGTTTCCAGGTTTGGTGCCAGGCTGATGCTTTAGATAGGAACTGGGCACCTATCATTCCCTCCAGTGTGCCCCCTTGCTTGCTTCCTTCTTGTGCTCTCTTCACTTCCATCTGAAGACTTGGCTCCCCACCCTCAGGCTGGCATAGGAGCTGCTATGATCACTAATCAAGCATGCGATTGGACCATGGAGGGAAAGGGCTTGGTAACCATGGTGAATATGCCTCTGATTAAACCTAGGTTGAATCTCTCTAGTCTTGCTTTTCTCTGGTTCATCACTTTCTTCCCACCCACTTATTCTTTTCACAATGGCCATCATTCAAGCCTGGCAGGAGGTGCTCATTACCAATCCAGGAGCAACTGGGTCTCTTTTTTTTTGGGGGGGACATAATAGAAGTTCTGGAGGATGAATACCCTCCAAGAACATTGTTGGCAGTGTGTGTGTGTGTGTGTGTGTGTGTGTGTGTCCATGTGTGCATGTTTCCCTCAGCATGAATGTTCCTGCTGTTGGGAAAAGAGAGGCTTCAGCTACTTGGCAGTGATGATAGTGATGGGGGGGACAAGGCTGGGCTGAACATTGTACTTGTGCTTTCTTCCTAGCCTCCCAGAGGGGACATTACAAAGCACATTAAATTGGCTCAGCCATACAACCCATCATTAAAAGATTGTCTCTGTGTATTCATATTTGTATGCATCAGCGTGGACATGTGCATGCCACATCACGTATGACCGTACATGTGCAGAGGTTAGGTGACAACCTTAAGTGTTCTCACCTTCCACCTTGTTTGAGGTAAGGTTTCTGAGGCTCTGTGTAAGCCAGGCTGGCTTTAGGGCTTCTGGGGGATTTTCTCATCTCTGCTTCCCATATCCCTGCAAGAGTGCTGGGATTACAGATGTGTGTGCTACTTGCACCCAGCTTTTTTGTGGGTTCAGAACCTCACAATTGCACAGTTAGTGCTTCACCCACTAAGCTATCTCCACAGTCCCATGACTTGTCATTTTTAATGTAAAAAGATTGAAACACTTCCCAAAAGATGAACTGTTGTAGAATATTATTTTAACTAGGCAAAGATGTGTTACATTTGTTTATACCACAGAATATTACTTTAACTGTGAAAATGTGTGTTACTTTTGTGTATGCTGCTTAAATATGTGTGTTTAAATATGTACAGATGTGTTGCATTTGTTTCACCTTGCCTGCCTAAGGCACACCTGATTGGTCTAATAAAGAGCTGAATGACCAATAGCTAGGCAAGGAAAAGAATAGGCAGGGCTGGCAGGCAGAGAGAATAAATAAGAAAAGAAATCTAAGCTCAAAAAGGAAGGAAAAGGAAAGACAGGGAGATGCCAGGGGCAAGCCACCCAGCCAGCATGGAGTAAGAAGGAAAGACAGACATATAAAATAAAGGTAAAAAGCCCAGAGGCAAAACACAGATAAATAGAAACAGGGTAATTTAAGTTAGAAAAGCTGGCTAGAAACAGGCCTAAGCTGAAGCCTGGCATTTTTAACAAAGAATAAGAAGTCTCCCGTGTCTTTATTTGGGAGCTGGGTGGTGGCCCCCTAAAAGAAAAAGCCTGGTACAATGAACACTAAAGCCCATGTAGCCTGACCCTGCTTGAGCTCCAGCCATACTTGCCTGCATGTTCTCTGGGAGTCCACAGTGTCATGCAAAGTCAGACACAGGGATGTGAAAACCAATGTCTCCTATAGATCTGTTTTTCACCCAGGAGATGGCATGTTGACAAATGAGTTTTGATCTGTTTCCTGACCTCACTGCTTAAGGGTAGCCAGCCTTGTGAGGCATCTCTCTGTTTTTATTTGGAGAAGTAAGGAAACAGGTTGAAGACACAGAGTTGCAGATTTAGTATACAAAGTGATCTTGGAGTGACCCAGGGTGACCCTTCTTCTTAAATTTTTTAAAAAGATTTATTTATTTAGTGTATGAATGCTTGGCTTGCATGTATGCATGTATATATGTATGTATGTATGTATGTATGTATGTATGTATGTATGTATGTGTATCATGTGTATCTGGTGCCTACAGAGGTCAGAAAAGGGCATATGATCCCTTGGAATTAGAGACATGGGTGGTTATGAGCTGCTAGATGGGTGCTGGGACCACTGCTGAGCCATTTCTCCAGTCCCATGACCTTTCTGTTTTACAAATGAAATAAAAGGGCCAGAAGTTGTAGCTCAGTCAGTAGAAAACTTGCTTAGAATGAAGGAAGCCTAGAGTTTGAGCCTCCAGGAGTGGTTTGGCACTATAACCCCAGCAGTCCGAAGGTGGAGGCAGGAGGATCTGGAGCCAAAGCCATCCTCAGCTACATAGTGTATTTCGGGCCAGCCTGGGCTACATGAGACCCTGTCTCAAAAACGAACAAACAAAACTAAAAAGCCAACCCACAACATTTTTTACAAATAAAAACAAGAACTGTGCAGACCATGGCATGCCCCTTGAGGTAGTCATGGTCCTGGGCACCTATGTGTTTCTGATGTCAATTGGCTCAGGCAGTAGCTTAGACACTCAATGTTTAACAGCAGAGCTTTCTTCACGGATACCACCAGTCTCTTTCCACACATACACTGGAGCATAGGAGAGTTTGTTGCTCATTGTCAGGTTTCTTTCTGAGTGTGTTTATGTGAGGATGCTAGAGTCTCCTTGGTGCTAGAGTCTAGTTCAGGTGCTAGTTCAGGCAAGAGATGTTTGGATGTTCCCTGAGGGTGAACAGTGTGAGAACAGGTAAAGAGCAGAGACTTTGCAGCACAATGACAGCAACAAGCACCTGTCAGGTGAGCCCTTAACCTACTCCAGGCATTCACCGAGGTGTGCTTTCCATCTGTACTTTCCACTCTCGAGAAGGGGTTTGTTACTGGGATTGCACCATACATGTGAAGAACAGGCTGAGGAATGCCAAGCAGCTGAGCTCCTCATTATACTGGCAACAGCCAGAGCCATCCCAGGAGTCCCTGAGCACCCTGCTAACAAGGTGCCACATGACTCTGCACTGTGAGGACACGCCTTTGGGTGGCTTTTCATGGACAGGAGTCCTTGATGCTGTGCATTTCTGGGAACATTGTATAATCTGGTTCTTTGTCACCTGGCTGTTTTGTGAGGTTGTTTTGGAAATTAGTTATGCTGCTTTATGGAACCTACCCACAGGGCTTGGAGCCAGCTGATAACTTCACTGCAGCTGTAGTGAGAAATATTCCATGGTTACCCTCAGGTCTCCATTCTAGGCTTAGTTTTACTACCCTGGGCAGTAGGTTTAATAGTCTGTTGGGTACTTCGGCCTCAGGCAGATGAGTGATGTGTGTGACTTACCAGAACTGATGAGTGAGACTGTCTTTCCCATCAGACAGTAACGGCCACATTGGTTAGACTCCTCTTAGGGACATGATTACATGGAGTACAGGGAGCAAGAATCCAGAATGTGTGCTTAATAGCTGCAGTTATTTAATTAGGCGGGTGCTATCAGGGTTAATGAGCCATTAACACATCAGAAGCCCAATTAGCCCATTGTTTCCATAGCTGTATGCAATCAAGCAGAAAGCCCTTCCTAGGGTGTCTGTACCCAGGAGAATGTCTCAGAGCGCAGTTTCTGTTATTTTGTTTTCAGACCAGGTCTGTAAATGCATGCCCATTGCTGATATCCATGGCATTTAGTTTTCACACTGTAGTGTGCGGGTATGCATCATTTTATATGCAACCCACAACAGAGTAGCAGTGGATGCATGCATGCACTTCCTTCAGCCTTCACGGTCTCCTTTCTCTGGATCCTTTCCCAGCAGCAGAGTTGTCCTGGTGCCTTTTCCCTCATCCACTGTCTATTCAGCTTCATGGATGGTTTCCTCAGTGTCCTGGCAGTTGCTCATTGATCAGCACTAGGGTCATTCAGATGAAGGACTTCCTACGCCAAGAAGGCCCATACTTGAAAGGATGGTGTAAGCCAGGAAACAAGAACACCATAAGCAACATGAAGGCTGAGTTGTTGCAAGGTGCCTTCTAAATACTTAGTGTTATACACACAGGCCAGTCCAACTGTCACACCTCATCCCTCAAACTCCTTTATACAGTCAACAGCTGTCAATACAGAGACTTACAACTGGTCAAAGTGCAGAGAAGAAGTGATTGTGAAGTGCTCAGAGCCCTAAATGGGAATCCTACCACACCCCAACTCCCTAGACGGCATGGAAAAACCATAAGAGCCAGAGATCAGAGATCAGAGACACTGTACTCATGAACTCTCAACTGCTGTGGTTGCTAGCACAAGACTTGTATAGGATCAAGTTAGCCAGCACTTCAGCATACAGAAGGAAGGGATGTAAGAGGCCTCACATCTAAGCTAAGGGGATATTGGCAGTTGCTAGGCAGTACTAATTAGGCTCAGTGGATTATTAAAAATAAGACATGAAAGCAGAGGGGTGTTGGGGGTGGCTGGGAGGAGTTGGGAGGACTGAATGGGAGGTAGCTATGATTTAAATACATTATGTTCATGTGTGAAATAACCCAATGATAATAAAAGACAATGATAATAAAAAAATTCAAAAACCAAAATTCCCAAACAAACAAGGGTGGAGCAAGACAGAGCAGACTCCCTGAAGACCAGCTGGAGTGCAGAGGGTGATGACAGGGTGAGTACTCTGTCTCTGCTTGCTGTGAAGAAGGGCTTGGATCTAGGGAGTTAGGTCTGTCTGTTGTAATTTTAAAAAAGTGGCTCGTGGGAGAAAGATGCCATGCAACGGAGTCCAAGAGGAGGAGGTTTTTGTTTTGTTTTGTTATTTTTGTTTTTTTAATTAAGGGAAAAGGATCGTAAAAAAGGGGAAAGGTGAGGGGGGAGACCAGCTTCCAGGAAGGAAAGAGGAAGGAGAGGGAGAGGGAGATGGAGATATGGGGAGAGGAGGAGGGGGAGAGAGGGAGAGAAGGCTGGAGGTGGGCAGGGCTCTTTTAAAAGGGAACATATTGAATAGGCACAGGCGATGCTCTTAGTGGTAGCAGCTGAGGGCATATCTTGCAAGAACTCCAAAGGCAGGCCAGTAAACTGCCTAAATACTAACATTGCCAGTAAAATTCTTGCTACTCAAGTGTAAGGACCTGAGTAAACTGGGGCTGTCTAGGTGTGGTGGCACAATCCCAGCCCTCTGGAGGCAGAGGCAGGTGGGTATCAGTGAGTTCCAAGTCAGCCAGGGGTAAGAGTGAGATCCCATCTCAAAACTGGGTCTGGTGGTGCACACCTGTAAACTAATTAGTGCTGCCTATGTGGGCAAGGGCATAGAGTACCATCCACTGGAGCATGGGCAATATACCATGGGCCACAGTGCTAAAGAAAACTTACTCCCTCTCTGAGCAGCCAAAAACTGCTACTGTGTCCTCAGATAGGGCTGGGGGCTCTTAAGTCTACTCTTTGTGCTGGAGCGCTAAATGGCTTGATCTTGTGCAGGCCATAGGCCAGCTACCACAGCTACCATGAGTTCACAAGTGGGATGTTCTTGTCAGAAAGATATTATTTTACAGCTGTTGTTCTCCTATGCCAGGACCCTCCAGATTTCTTCCTATTTGAATGTCCCCCAGGTGAAGTACTGAGAAGGCCTTGCATTTGCCTCTGCGCATATTCATTCTTAAGAAAGAGCCCAGCAGGCCTGGGGATTGTAAGGAAGGTATCACACCTGGCTACCATACTCCACTCTGTGGTCTGAAAACAGAAGCCACCTTTTTTCCAGTCCTCATACCTCGTAATTTGCCCAGCAGAGCATGGAACACCTTGACTGCCAGTGTGCATTTACTGGGTGCATTGCTGTGTGTATCCCCATTATGAGCTGTGTACCCTCCTCAGCTTTGTCACTCTTTCCCCTGACACTCTGTGTGTCTCCCTCCAACTTCCCATCCCTTGGCCTTCAGCCTACGTCACTCCCACTTGTCACCTACTGGAGAGAGGTTGGACTCCTGGTGCACACCACCTCTCTGAGTCCCTGGGGGACCTGTCCTTGGTGGTCTATAACCTTGGTAGTTTTGGGGTTCTGCTATCCTTGCTGTTGGTACTGACTAGTGTTTGCTCATCTGAAGTGAACTCTGGGGCCTGTGGTTTGTTTTGCAGGTCAAGCCGGTGGTACACTGTGACATCAACGTGCCTTCCAGGTGGCAAACACAGAGCAGATCATCCCGATATATAAAGTGAGTTCAGTGTCATGAGTGTCAAACCCCAAGCATGTCCTGGCTTCTCTCAGGCAATGCTCTCCTGCTGGGCCACCTATTCCAGGCCTGTTCTCATTTCCTCTCCTACTTCCTCTCCCTCTCCTCCTTTGTCTCTCTGACCACATACCACCTCTCTGTGGTCAGCCTTCAAGTGTCCTTCTCTGAGGACACTGTTCAGTTGGGGTGCCACCATCTTCAGCAGCTTTCCTGAGGTGAAAAAACAGCTAGAGAGAGAGAAGGGAATGGCCTGATTAGGCAAACTTTGTATCTCCCACCTATCTTCAAAGTCTCAAGGACTGTGTGTCTCAGATGTCCCTTGCTTTCAGCTTCCAGAAGGGAGTCATTTAGAAACACAAGTCAGGGCTTTCCATACTGCTTCTTGAAAATATCAGGCCTCAAAAGAGGCAGGCTCTCGGCAGTGGACGCCTTTCTGGGACCTGTAATATGCAGAGAAAGGATAAATAAGTACATGGTTAGCTTAAAAAAAAAAAAGACAACTCTAGGAGCCTGGCAAGATTGCTCAGTGGGTAGAGACACCTGCCCACAGGCCTGACAACTTGAGTTCAACCCCTGGATACTATAAGGTGCCAGAAAAGAATTGACTTCTGGAGAGTTGTCCCTTGATCTCCACATTGGTAATATACTCACAGATGGATCCATACATACATATACATATACAAAAAAAAAAAAAAGGTTTTAGGCCATCAGTTCAGTGAATGAAGGTGCTTGTTACTGAATCTGATGACCTCAATTCAATCCTCTAGACTCACATGGTGGAAAGAGGGAATTGACTCTTGCAAGTTGCTCTCTGACTTTCATACAAGTTCTGTGACTTGTACAAGTGCACACACACACACAAGCACGCATGCATGCATATGCACTCACGTGTGTGTGCACACACAAACACACATATGCATACACCGAATGCAACTTTAAAATGTTTGAAAAGTGCCAGGGCTTCTCTGAAATAATAGTAGTTCCAGTGTTTCTAAGTTTTGCAGACACCATCTTTTGTGTAGAGCATGCCATACTCTTAGGGGACATAACTGGTTGTCCTGGTTAATGAAGACACACATCTCTGTAGCCACAGTTTGGGGCCATGGCCCAGTGTATCAGTGACTCTTGAAGAAGATGTGTTTCACATCCTGATTGGAGTGCTGGGAAGGTCCACTAGATGGACCCAAATAGCCATCTAAATGCAGCATCCTTTCACCACAGAAAAAGCAGATCATATTGGCCGGGAGAACTTGTGACTGTGAAAGCAAGTGTAGGTTAGGGAGAGTTTCTACATCGGGTGCTCTGTGTCAGGCATTCAGGATAGGAAAGACTCTGACCTTCTCTTGCAGTGGAATGGCAAGGCTGGTATGACCTGTGGAACATGGCTTTTGTTATGTGGAGGGAAAGCCTGGAGCTCCTTGGTGAGACTCAGGGGGTACTATGTAGATGGCTGTGACCATAGAATTGTGATGTCACCCTAGTTGGAGGCTGAGGCTCAGAGGTGGGACCTGGTTCTGGTATTAACTGTGAAACCCAAAGAGTCCCACTCTGCAGGGACATCCTTCACCTGCTTTGTAGTGGGGTATCTGCTCTCAGTTTGGTTTCATGTGGAGAAGTAAAGAATATAGTGTGTGTGTGTGTGTGGTGGGGTTCAGAGAATTTTACTTCCTTTGTTTCTTAAAAGTGAACTGGTGAAAAGTTTATAAATCCTGGGAATGTTTCCCCAGAGACTCCCTACTCCCTTTGGGAAAGTGTTTTAGGCCAGAGGTGAGATCATTGGAACTGGAGGGTAGCAGGCAGATATTTGGCCTCTTGGTGAGCAAGAGAAGGCATGGCACAAAAGGTGACAAGACCATGCTCCAGACAATGGGTAGAAGTTGACTGTGGCAGCATCATGTCTGCCACTTAGCTCTCAGGGCTGCTGTCTGCCTTGGCCTATTGCTAGCTGCCAAAACTCTTGGTGGAGCCTCAGGTTGAAAACTTCATTTGGAGGCCCTAGCTATCTCAGAAGTCTTCCTGAAGTTTCACATCAGTGTTTGTGGTGAGTGGAAACATGCATGGAAGCATGAACTGAGTTCAGTACATTGACCAATGTGGTCCTCTCCACTGGAAGTGGTGGTGGTATACATAAGTAGGCAGCTTGTCATGTGTCCAGCTTGACTGGACTTAGAGGTATTTTGGCAGAAAAAGTGTTTAGGAAACATTGAAAGATACAGGTGTCAGATGGTCTTTGCTGTTGGTCATAAGAGAAAGCCACGTGTCCCCATGAAGGAGAAGGCCAGGGAACAGCTCCCCCTGGCCTGTATCACATCACAGGTTTTCCCCGAAGCTGTAGAAGAAGCGAGGATAACTGCTGGTCAAGATGAAAGTTACAAGTCCAAAGCCATCATTTTCTCCCTTCTTCAGTGAGGACTCATGCTGTGTAAATGAGATAGAGACACTTGTGACAGACTTGGAGGTCATCCAGTGGTCATCTGAGCAGACTAAACATCTGGCCTTTCCCTGTCCAATTCCTTCCAAGTACGAGGCTGTTACTTAGGCCATTCATGCCTCCTTGGGAAGCATTATAGTGATGGTGTCTCTCCCAAGGGAGAAGAGGAGTCTCATTAATGTCTGGGAATTGAAGTGTGTCCCAGGGTGTAGTCCCATGCTTGGTAGCCATTTGGAGTCTTCATGAATTGGGGAAGAGGCTTTGAACATACCTATCAGTCAGTTCATTTATGAGCATCTCTTGAGTTCTTTATACTATGTGCTCTACTGTGTGTGTGTGTGTGAATGAGTGTGTGTTCTCATGTGTATAGGTGCATGTGCACATGTGTGCACCAACATGTGGAGGCCAAAGGACAGATTCTGCTGTCATTTAGCTGCCATACTCCATGGTTTTTGAGACAGTCTATCACTGGCATGGAACTTGCCAAGTAGGCTAGTTCCCAGGGAACTTGGCCAGTAAGCCCCAGGGATATGCCTTTCCTATTCCCCAGTGCTGAGGTTAAACTTGTACCCCTTGATGACTCTTTTCTTTTTTTAAAATATGTGGATTCTGGGGATTAAACTGAGGTTCTCATGCTTGCAAGACAAGCACTTGCTGACTGAACCATATAGCCCTTCCTACTTTTTTTGTATGTTTGGTAATTGTGCATGTACGCATGTTCATATATGTGTGGGTGTGCATGTGTACATGTGTATGTTGAGGCCAGACACTGGCATTGAGTGTCTTCTTCAGTCACAAGCCATTTTATCCATGGAGGCAGGGTCACTCTCTGAACTTCAAGCATGCTGATTTTTATCCCTGTGTCTACTTTCCAAGGGTTGGGGTACAGAGACTGCTATGCCTTCCCAGCTTTTAGGCAGGCACTAGGGACCCAAACTTGGTCCTCACACTTCCCCAGCCAGTGCTTTATTCACTGAGATACTTTCTTAGATCCTCCCTCCTTTAATTAGACCAGTTTGCTGAGCTTATAGCAGAGCTCCTAGAAGGTGCGCCACTGGAGTCTGTTAGTGGCTGGTGTGAATTCTTCAAAATAAAGCAGATTTCTAGCTTTGGAAGTGGGGAAGCTGAGACCCACAGAGAACAGGAAGTCTGGCTGTCCTTTGGGAATCTGACTCCTGTGGTTTGCTGCCCCATACATTTGTTAAGTGTGCCAGGTCAGGGAAGACCAAGAGATGAATAGAAATGTATACTTGTGAGCTCACTGTCTAGCAGGGGATAAGTGATGAGAGAGAGAGACTTGTGAAGTTCTAGAATCAACTCTTTGACTTTGACTTTGGTATTGAAGGATTGTAGCACGAGTTCTAACTGGTCTTAATAATAAAAACCAGGTGTCAGATATTAGGGGGTGAAACCTACAAGATCAGAGAAGAAGAGTAGTCAGCCACTAGAGTTCTTACCTCTATGAAATCTCCAGACTGAAAAGAGACTGAGCTCCTCCCACCTTATATTCTCTCTCCACCCAGCCATATCACTTCCTGTTTGTTTGTTCAGGCCCCCAGACCTCTATGGTTAGCTCCACTCTCTGATCTTCAGGCCAGCTTTATTTGTTAGAGTACAAACAAGATATCACCACAAAAGGACTTTTCAATTCAACTCAGCTTGAATTTGAATTGGTTCTTGTGTAGAAGTGTTTGCTTTATCAGTGGATGAGGGAGGAAGAGGCAGCCAGCACAAAGTGTGAGGTTATACGCATGGCTCTCCCAACACATCGGATTGGGCTACCTTATCACAGGAATAAACATGACCCTAGCTTTCGTTTTTTTTTTTTTTTTTTTTTAATAAATCTACATAGTGACATTTTACAGTTATTTTGTTTTTATATTTTTTTTACTTTTTATTTGTATTACAAACAAGATTGAATCACATGACTATCCCAGTTCCCTTCTCCCTCCCTTCCTCCCCTAACACCCCCCCAACTAAAACCCTACCTATCACATGCCCTTTATTCTAATCTACACCTGTCTCAACCTTTCTGCTCCTTCATGACCTCTGCATCCTTCCCTTTCTTCCCTTCTCATTCTTGTATCTCCCTCCCCCTTCTTCCCATGTTCTCAATTTGCTCAGGGGATGGTGACCCTTTCCCCTTCTCCAGGGGACAAAGTTTGTCTCTCTTAGGGTCCTCCTTGTTTACTAGTTTCTCTGGCAGTGTGGATTGTAGGCTGTTATCCCTTACTCTATGTCTAAAATCTACATATGAGTGAGTACATATCATGTTTATCTTTTCGTGATTGGGTTACTTCGCTCAGAATGGTTTCTTCTTGTTCCATCCATTTTCCTGCAAATTTCAAGATTCCATTGTTTTTTTTTTCCTGCTGAGTAGTACTCCATTGTGTAAATGTACCACATTTTCTCTATCCATTCTTCGGTTGAGGGGCATCTAGGCTGCTTCCAGTTTCTGGCTATTATAGTGTTGCTATGAACATCATTGAACGGATGTCTTTGTTGTATGAATGTGCTTCTTTTGGGTATATGCCTAGGAGTGGAATTGCTGGATCTTGTGGTAGACTGATTCCCATTTCTTGAGGAGTCGCCATACTGATTTCCAAAGTGGCTGTCTAAGTTGGCACTCCCTCCAGGAGTGGAGAATTGTTCCCCTTTCTCCACATCCTCTCCAGCATAAACTGTTATTGGTGTTTTTGATTTTAGCCATTCTGACAGGAGTAAAATGGTATCTCAGAGTTGTTTTGATTTGCATTTCCCTGATGTGGCCCTAGCTTTCTTGCAGTTGTGGCCATCAAGCTATTTCTGAGAAAGGTGATTCGTTGGAGGAAGGATGCTTAGTCGGAAGAACTCACCTGGGATTTGGAATCAGAAGGACTTGGCTTTCCACTAAGCCTCTGTGACTAGGGAAGCCACTGGCCTTTGTGTTTCTTCAGCTGGGTCTCAGAGTTGTGGTATTTGCTTTACTGAGTTACTGGAAAGTTTGAGACAGTCTTTATAACATACACAGGAAGTGTGCAGTAAACCATCATCTCTTGCTGGCTAAAATCCATGTACCATTCCGTCTAGATCCATATGCTATTTTCCACTTTCCAAAGTTAAAATATTTTCTTTTCCTCTATTTCTGGAAAGTCTAAATGTAGCATAGCAGGTAGTGTGCTGACTAAGCAACGTGAACCTCTCCTCACCTAATTCAGAATTTTTTTTTTTTAATAAATGGACTAAATTTTACCACAGAGTGAATAGTTGTAAAAGTTACCAACAAAGCAAATTTCCCTCCCACCTTACACCCAAAGTTCTCTAGTGACTTCCCTAGCAGTGACAGACAATTGCTCTGTGTCCTGCACCATAGGTACCCTCACTGCTTTTCATATATAGTTTACCCAGGAGACAGTTTCTCATTAGCATTTATCAATATGTCATGCCTGGTGAAACAGCTACAATGTCTTGAAGTCCACGAGCTCCCTTAGCATGTATTTCACCATGGTAGGATTTAATATGTGGCTGTCTGTCACTCATCCATGGAGGACTTCTGGAAACTATGAGTATTTAGATTAGGCTGGCTCCCTAGAGCACTGGGTGGAGACTGACAGTTGGGGCCTTGGACAACCTTGGCGCTCTACAAGGCATCTGGTTTTCCTGAAGGTCCCTGCTCAACTACAGAGTTGACCTATCAGTCTCACCTTTGAACTTGGAGTTCCCTAACTTAAGATTTGGAGAATTTTTTTTATAAATCTTTTTTTTAGGATTATTTATTTATTATGTATACAACATTCTGCTTCCATGTATATCTGCACACCAGAAGAGGGCACCAGATCTCATAACAGATGGTTGTGAGCCACCATGTGGTTGCTGGGATTTGAACTCAGGACCTCTGGTAGAGCAGTCAGTGCTCTTAACCTCTGAGCCATCTCTGATTTGGAGAATTTTTGTATTTCTTTCCTTTACCATAAACATTTCTAAACACCTTGTTTACTTATGAAAAATGTGGAATCAAAAATTGAAGGCTCAAACTCCCGAGGTAGCCACTCCCTAAGAACAACCACTGGTAGCCTCGAAGCACATAGATGCATGTGCTTTCCTCATGAAGCTTAAGCTGCTTTTAATTTAATCAATCAATCAATCAATCAATCAGTTTTGGTTTTTTGAGACAGGGGTTTCTCCGTATTGGTTTGGAGGTTGTCCTGGAACTAGCTCTGTAGACCAGGCTAGACTCAAATAATTTAATTATTTTTTTAAAAGCATTCACTATTCTTGGCCACAGACCCTTGGTAAATGCAAATGCAAGCATGAAAAGTTTTGGGGAGCTGTGTAACTTAGTGTATTGCAGCATCATGATTTATTTAACCGCAGCTCTCTGACAAGACATTCATGCCTTTGTATCTTTGTTTTCCTAAGTAACTATAGTGAGAGGTGAGAGATGTCTTCATACAGTCTGAGTCTGAATTTCTGTGAAGTGGGTTTCATGGCAGGGAAGAATGAAATCTGTGAGTAGTATGTTGGCCTCTCTTGCTATGCTATCAACATTGTTCATGTTCAACTACATGGGTGGTGTGTGCAAATGCCTATTCCCAACACTCAGGGGATGACTGCCTATTACAATCTCAGAGGTTAAGGGCCACAGAGATGGCTCAGCTGGTACATTACTTGCCTTGCAAGCATGAGTTTGGTCCCAGAACCCATCTGAAAAACGGTGGGCATGATGGCCAGTGCATGTTATTCTAGCATTAGAGATGAGGAGACAAGTAGAGTGCTGAGGGTCCCTGGCCACCCAGCCTAACCTCCTTGGAGAGCTGCAGGCCCTGTCTCAAAAAACAAGCTGGACAGTGTTCAGCTGATGCTGTCCTCTGGCCGCCACATGAGCGTGCACTTGTACACACGCATGCAACTTTAAAAATGCAGGCAAAATATAACATGTTTGTGCTAAAGTACTATATTCTTGTCAATCCCTATTTAAAAAAAATTTTTTTGGTTCTTTAGAGACAGGGTTTCTCTGTGGCTTTGGAGGCTGTCCTGGAGCTAGCTCTTGTAGACCAGGCTGGTCTCGAACTCACAGAGATCTGCCTGCCTCTGCCTTCCGAGTGCTGGGATTAAAGGCGTGTACCACCACCACCCAACCAAAAAAGTTTTTTTTTTAAAAATTAAATTTATTTATTTATTTTACAACCCTATCAGAGTTTCTTCTCTCTCCTTTTCTCCCATTCCTTCCACCCAATTCCCTCTGCCCCTCTTCAATCCACTCCTTTTCTGTTTCTGTTGAGAAAGGAGCTGGCCTCTCATGGGTGTCAGCAAAGCATGGTGTTTCAAGTTGAGGGAGGACTAAGTTCCTCCCCTCATATTAAGGCTTGATAAGGCAACACAGTATGAGGAATAGGTTCCCAAAAGCCTGTCAAAGTGTCAGGGATAGGTCCTGCTCCCATTGCCAGGAGTCCCACAAACAGATCAACCTACACAACTGTCACACATATAGAGGGCTTAGGTCAGTCCCATGAAGGCTCTTTAGCTGTTGGTTCAGACTCTGTGAGCTCTTATGAGGCCAGGTCAGTTGTCTCTGTGGGTTCCCTTGTGTAAAGTTTTGACATAAATCCTTTGCATCATTAGAAACACTGTGCCGAGGCTTCATGGTCTCCTCCATTTTTTTCCCCCCACGAAAGTGCTTTAATTACTGAAGAAGCTGGTGGCTGGTGCTGGCTGGCTACAATTCTGTTTTGCCCCAGAGCTTTAGTGGAGGAGGCAGATTCTATCCATTGTCACAACACATTCAACCAGTGTTTATAGTCTGAGAAGAAGATACACTGTTTATATCCCCTCTGAGAAGAAGATACATTTGCTATAGTCTAAGTTATTCACATTTAAGGAAAAAAAAATCCAAGTAAACAACAGCAAATAGCACAGTTGAGCCTACACACTATTAAAGAAAGCATAGGCTAAAAGAAATAAGCCTTGTACATGACACTTTTTTTTTTTAAATACAGGTTCTTTCTACATGATCCAGGTTGGCCTAGATGTAGGGTATCCCCGCCCCAGCTTCACATGTGCTAGGATTACTAGTGTGTACCATCACACATGGTCTATTGTGCCTTATTTTAATGAAAATTGAGACTTTGAAACTACCTCCAAGGGGTGGTGATTCCTGGGGCACAGCAAATGAAACAGGAGCTTTGGTTGAGTTTTGAAGAGCTTCTCAGTACACCTTTCCCCACACAGCAATAATGAACTAAGCCTATTGGGGGGTCACATTGCTGCCTGAAGACAGGAGTGAGACTGGGTGTTTTGTAACCTGTCCAGAGGATCATGTAGCATTTCTACTGGATGTCTCTCCAGGCTCTGTGACATGGGATATGACTGCATTTTTCAGATATAATTCCCTCCTTTCATTTTCCAACTGTACACTATTTTCTTCTAATTTAACCACCATAGGGAACATATCATTTTTATATAAATTTTTATTTAAATTAGAAACAATCTTATTTATCAATCCCAGTTCCCTCTCTCTCCCATCCTCCCATGTCCCCCACCTCCCATCAACTCCCCAGGGAGGGTGAGGCCTTTCATTGGGGAATCATGAAAGTCTGTCACATCATTTGGGGCAGGGCCTAGGCCCTCCCCCATGTGTGTAGGGGAATATACTATTTTTAAGAAGTAGAATTTTGTCCCATTCTTTGGGTTCCTTCAGCTAGATGGAAAGGCACTTTCTGAGCTATGGACAGATCTCAGTTGTTACAGTGTGGTCTCATAGGCATGAAGCCCTGGTCTCCATCCCTAGCAGTGTATACACCAGAAGTGTATGCCTGTAATCTCAGCATCTGGGAGGTGGAGGTAGGAGCACCAGAGGTGCAGGGTCACCCTTAGCTGCATAGTGAGCTTGAGACCAGCCTGGGCTCTATGAGACCCTGTTGCAATACAGTACACTACAACACAGATAAAAAACACAGTACAATACAATATAAAAACAGTACTCTCCTAACACCATTTTTACATCAGCAGACTTGAAGACTATACTGCAGGACTTATACTGTAGGACTGCACTGTAGGTATTGTTAAGTATTGATCAGTGCATCAGAATATTTTTGCATTTCTGCAAAGACACCTATGCGTTTTTTTTCTTTGAGTTTCCAGTGTTTACATCTGATTTTCCTTCTTATTTCTACAGTGTTTTCACAAATGGAAGATTGTTTATCCCACCTATAAAAATTATTGTACCCAAATTCAGCCTGTCAGATTGGAATAATGTGCTGGCCATTATTGGAGAAAAAGTCTTCCCTCTAGGAGGCGTACGGAAGTAAGGCACTCTCGAGTGGGGAATCGGGTTGCAGGGGAGAACTGGGTGCCCCATCTTTATTTTAAACTGGTTTCATTAAGCTAGTCACCAAATACTGAGCACTGGCCATGAGTTCTGTGCAGAGGGCACAGCGTCGTAAGGAAGAGCCTCAGGTGAGATGGCTCAAGGGGTAAAATGTTTGCCATGCATGCTTAGTGGTTTGAGTTTGATCCCTGAAAACCCTGTGAGGGTAGAAGGAGAAACCTGATTTCACAGCATTATCCTCTGACTTCACATGTGCACATAGCACACAAGCACCCCTCATTGTGCACACAACACCAACACCAACACCAACAACAAGGAACCTTGCTTCCCAGAACCCCTACTTGGGCCGAAGCTGGAGGAGGTACTGCAGTAGTTGGTGGCCTGTAGAAGTTGGGCGGGGGCACATGGGTAATCAGTCTTTAAGGTGAAACTCAGCAGATGAGTGAGGGAGTTTTGCTTCTATGGGGCAGAATGGTTCAAAGAGGTCAGCCCAGAATCACAGCCTCTAACCAGGGCTTTAGGGTCAAGTCCGTCTTCTGCCACCTTTGTGACCATAACAATAATGGATACCTTTTTCTTCATCTGGAAAGTGATAGTAGTGATTTCTAAAAGTTTTCATATGTGCTCAGCACCTCACCCAGTATGTGGCATGCTGTATGTGACAACAGAGGAACAGTTATGATGGAAAGGTAAAGCCTGGATAGGTATGGTGCATGGGAGAAGGACCTCACCTGTCACTGCTGGAGAGGCATATTGTCGTGGTTGTTTATGTTTAGGCTTTTGGACTGGGATCTAGGCAGCTGGAGTTATGATGCTGAGGGATTTATTGGTATAGACATCTGATCTCATCTTTGTTGGATGGGTGTCCATTCTTTGGTTGGTGTTGCTGTGGGGTCCCTGGGACTTAGCAAGCGTGTTGGGTGGGGGCTTCTGGTAGAGAGCTGTTCTGTAGGTTGGGGTGGGTGAGTTTTGTAGAAATGGAGGGGCTGAGAAGGGAGGTGGGGAAGAACTAGGGGGTCTCTGGGTCAAGACTGAGAGGCCACGCCCCAAGGCAATGGAAGGGGACTGGGAAGAGGGCCCCTGTGGACAGGCTGCACCAGGACTACGGGGAAGTCTGAAGAGGCTGGAATGGAGAACAGGAAGAAGGATGAAGGTCTCCTACCAGAGTCCCAGCCTAGTATGGCAGTTCTGTATCTCTGGTAGAGACAAGTTCTGCATGTTGGTGGGTCACAGAGAACTGGAGATGGGCTAGCAAGAAACTCTGAAGCGGGCTGCAGGAAAGAACTAGGGGAACCCTGGGTCCTCACCGAGAATCTGAATCCCTAGGGGGTTGAACTACACCTTTATTTTGGGAAAGTGGTTGAATTGGCTGTTTATTGGTAAAGCAAAGAATTGGAGACATTTAGAGATATTCATCATTCTCTCTTTTTCTCTCACCTCTCCACATGTGTGTATGTATATACATAAGGCAGAGATCAACGTCAGGGTTCATTCTTGGGAGCCATTGCCTTATTTCCTGAGACAGGGTCTCTCACTAGGGGAACCATTAAGTAAGCAGGGCTGGATCCTCGGGGTCTTTACTTCCCCACTGTGAGAATTACAGCTATGCATCATCATGCTTGGCTTTCTCACCTGGCTTTGAGGATGGATCTCATGTTTGCAAGGTGAGCACTTTAATGGCAGAGCCATCTCCCAGGCCCTATATCACCCAATTAGTAAACTTCATTAACAATAACATACATAAAACACTTCCTGCTTCTGCACCTAGTGTTGAACTCTGGTATTTTTGTGATGCAAGGCAAGCTATTTAGTAACGCGATCTCACTTGTTCACATCTTTTCCTTTGCAAAGTTCTTTTACTACAGTACCACAAGCTGAGCTGCTCTATGTACTGTCTGCATCCTCTGCAGGGTCTGTACTTGGTGTCATGCCGAGGGGTACACAGGTGAGCTCCCCTCCCCCTTGAGCATCTCTGGATTTTTTCAATCTCAGGCTTCCCTCTTGAATTCTGAAATTAGTCTTTATTATCTTCCTACATTTCCCCCTTATTTTTAACTGAGTTTTTAGATCTTTTTATGTTAGCACATCTCACGCCCATGTCTTAGCTTTTCTTTTTCTTTTTTTTTTTTTTTTTTTTTTTTTTTTTTTTTTTTTTTTTGGAGAAGGGTTTTTTGGGGTGTAGGCATCTTGTCTGTGAACCTGTAATGGTAGGATTTTCCTGTATTGCTTTGGAGCCTGTCCTGTAGACCAAGCTGGCACTTGGCTAGAAATGGAATGCCCAGACCTTGACCTGGACTTAAGAGTCAATCTGTGCTTCAGTTGGCTTCCCAGAGATCAGATGCACTCGGGAGGGAAGCCTAGTCTGTGTGTTCCATCTGCTCCTGGTGTCCTGCACCCGCCCTCCTTTCCTTCTTCGTCCAGATGCACTGGACTTGTGCATCTACTTTACACGGCCACAGCAGATGATAGAGAGGGCCGTCTGTCACATCTTTTCCACAACAGGCAGCCTATTCTCTACTCCTTAGGATCCTTCATCCTTTGTCTAATCATGAAATCCCCTCCTGGAATGCAAACTCTTTGTTAATTGATCTTCAGACACATGTTTGTGTGCCCTGTTAGTATTTTGCCCTCAGTGACAAGCAGACTCCTGGGTTTTGGGTTTTTGTATAGATCCCTCCGGCCACTCCAGAATGCTTCACCTATTACTATGTGATGGGTGGCCTGCTGCCATTCTTTAAGACAAATGAGTTCCTTTTGTCTTGTGAAGCCCATGGTTGAATTACATCCTTCTCCTCTTGAAACCCATGCCAGTCAGCTCTCCATTGCTATAACAAAATACCTGAGATAATCATCTTGATGTGGGAAAGGGTTTGCTTCAGCTCACAGTCTCATTGGTTTCACTATACATTTTTTGGCCCATTGTTTTCAGTTTTTGGCTCATTGTTTTTGGGTCTGTGGTAAGACCCCACATTGTGGATGTACATGGCTGAAGATGCTGTTGACCTTATAAAGCAGCGGAGAAGTGTTTGGGGTCCTAATACCGCTTCAAGGGCCTGACTCCAGTAGCCCAGCCTTTTTGCACTTGCTCTACCTCCTAAATGTTCTAATACCTCCCAGGAGTGCTACAGACTAGGAACCATGTCCTCTAACCTGGAGAAGCAGAGTGAGCACCTTGTATTAATCTTCATAGGTTGCTAGGACCCTTGACTCCAAGGAACAGTCATTTCCATTTGTGTAGTTCCTCCTCATAGTCTTATGTGCAACAAGCTGATAATAGAATGAATTGAATCTTTTCTCAAATTAACCAGACAGTGAGTACTTGCCAAAGAGTGCTGAATGAAGTCACTGGGTCATTATAAAAAGTCCTGTTATTTGCTAACAAATGCTGATTTCTTTCTGAAGTATTGTTACAACAATGTAAGCCATTTGTATTAATTTTAGCTGCTACTAGTTAAAATTAATTGAATACCAACCAAGAGCTGATCATGTTCTTAAGATCCTCTGAGGACTTGTGCATAATGAAAAATACACTTTAATTAAAAAGCTCTAAGTGGAAAGTGTGCAGTTCAGGAAAAGCAGTTTCCACAGGCTTCCCGCCTTGCTCCACATGCTCACTGGGGAGTGTAGTTTCTTGGGTATTTTACATGCTGGTCATTATCACAGGTGAAAAACTAACCCATGTCCTGTGCTGCTGTTTCCTAAATCTTATCCCATGTTCTCTCCTTTGTTCACAGGTTGTTTACAATGGATGGGCATCTTTTGGAAAATTCAAAGGATTTGCGAGACAATTATTTTTATGTTGCTGCAGGACTGGAGACTTTCAAATCCATTCCTTACTGGAAGGCCCCAAGGGTCCCCAGTGAGGTCCAACAGTGAGTGCAACTTGTACCTTTCCTTTAAATAAAAAAATCTATCCATCTTCCTATCAATCAATCAATCTATCATCTGCCTATCTATCATTTATCTATCTATCTATCCATCCTAGCATCTACCTATCCATTTATCTATATATCTAGGGGTGCATGCATGTCATGCATGGGGAGATCAGAGGATAACTGTGGGAGTCAGTTCTCTCCTTCCACATTGTGGGCCCTGGGCATCTAACTCAGGTTGTTGGGCTTAGTGTCAAATGCCTTCACTCACTGAGCCATCTCTCTGGGCTCTGTGCCTTTCCTTTTTGAGTGTTGCTGACATTTGTCTGTCTTTCCCAAGTCCTTTCCAAAACATGCTGGGTTCATATACTGATTACTTTTCAGTTGTAAAACTTGATGTGATATCTGTAACGATAACTCTTTCTGCCAGCCACCCGAGTTCCGCCACCACATTAGGGCCCCAAATAATACACAGACATTAATATTATTTACAATGCTGTTGGCCAATGACTAAGATTTCTTATTTGCTACCTCTGTCTTAAGTATCAACCATAACCATTAATCTTATTTTATAAAGACTTATCAAGGATGCCAGCCTTAGCGTCTATCTTCCTGGGATCACATGGCAACTCCTGTCTTTACTACATTTCCCAGAATCCTTCTTGACTCCTAGCCCCACCTATCTTGCTTTCCTATTGGCCAACAGTGCTTTATTTATCAACCAATAAGACAAACATATACACAGAAGGACTTCCCCCATCAGATATCTATTATCTATCATCTATCTATCTATCTATCTATCTATCTATCAATCTATCTATCTATCTTCTACCATATACCTATTTATGCTTACATATTCTGTCTCTATATGTGCATACATATGCACACACACACATAATTTGAATCTCACATTTCTAAAATCAGGCATGGAGTGATGCACAGTTTCTGAGAATACAGAGTCTACACTGTGGATACAGACAGCCCATGACAGTGCCCCTTTGAAATTGGTGTCAGAGAGACATGTCCAGTGTGTATAGCAGCTGCTTGTGAAGGCCCTGTGCCTGTGAGTTAGGAAGGGGTATGGATACAGGCAAAATGGCCAGTCAGACCAGAGTTCTGTGTCTGGTGGGTGAGGGACAGCCAGGTTTGAATCTCAGTCCTGTTACTGATCAGCTCCAAGGTGTGGTATGAACCTGTGCCTCTAAGGTCTTGGTTCCTTGCAGAGAAGCCAGCAGGTTCTTGCTTCACTGGGTAATGGTGAAAGCTGCATGAACAATTGAGATCTATGTGAATAATCCATGCCTCAGAAAACATCAAAACCGTTAAAACGTCAGGCTCCCTCCAATACCCCAAACCTCCTTACCCTGCCACCCTGGACTAGGCACCACCCTAATAAATCAGGGGCCATCTGACTTTTAAAGACCCCCTGGCTTTTCTCCCAAGCTAGGAGATGACTGTGGTCATCATCTGTGCCTTTTGTAGAGAGCGGTCCTCTTTCTAGGTCAAGGATGCTCCTGTAGTTTATGAAGACAAGGTAAGTCTGGGCTGAGCTTGAATGCACTAACTGCTTGTCTTTAACTTTCAGGAAGCTTATGAACAATGAAAAAGGCACACAGCCAAAGAAAAAGGTAAGTTTTGAAAGATGAGTGACCACTGTTACTGATTCTGGTGTCCTCTGGTCTTGGGGTGGCAAATAGCTTTACGGTCACTAGGAGGAGCCAGACCTGCCCATGAGAGGGAGGAGGAGGATGATAGAGTCATCTTTGGAGCTCAGAGCCTAGAACAGAAAGGGAGGCATGCAGAGATGTTTGGGGCATGACATGGCAGTCTCTGCACTGAGACCCCAGGAGCTCAGTCAGCACACTGTACACTGTGGTATTGGTCATGGATCATCTTTTAAGTCTGAAATTTATCTTTTAAAATGTATTTATAGACAAAGCAGAGGTTCTTGGACATGCAGTGAGCATGTCACAAGTATAGAGCTCTGAACTCATATGCTATCATTGTTGAACGGGGCACACTACAGTGTGATGAAATGCTGCTGCTGACGCCAGTTCTGCTGAGGTCTTGCTTTCTGTACCTGCTACACAACTCTGGCTTACACCACACTGTTTAAAACCAGCAGGGATGTTTTACTTGGCCCCTTGTGTGAAATGAACGTTTATACATTTGGATGAATTTGCTTCCAAATACTTGAATTAAGATGTAAAAAGAGGGCTGGAGAGCTGGCTCAGAGGTTAAGAGCACTGGCTGTTCTTCCAGAGGTTCTGAGTTCAATTCCCAGCAACCACATGGTGGCTCATAGCCATCTGAGATCTGGTGCCTCTTCTGGTGTGCAAGCATACATGCAGGCAGAACACTATACACATAATAAATAAATAAATCTTAAAAAAAGAAGATGTAAAAAGAAAAGAAAAGGTTATTTGCACCATGAAGATAATTAATAGTAGGGTCGAGGGACATTCAGGACCTTAGGTTTTGTGATGACCATGTACTTATTATTGTCTACAGATAGTATAAAGATTGTAAAAAATAAATCCAGGTTCCTCTTACTTAACTGTGCTATGGCATGGTTGAATCTTTGAGAGTTGAGCGCCCTCCTGAGCAGCAGCTTTGGGAAGGCTCCAAAGCTTGTACCAAAGAATGAGGAGTCCCCTTGTGCCATCCTTGGTGCAGCACCCTTGGCTGGAAAGAGCCAAATGACCTCTCCAGCAGTGGATCTGGGAAGAAGGGGCAGGCTATCCCCTCTACCTCCTTCAGAAGGGGACAAGAGTAGTGAGAACTTTCGAGGCTTCGTGGGTTCCTGGATTTCCTGCCCTTGCCCACTGCAAGGACCAAGGACTCAAGGTGGCCTCTTCTTCTGACTTTTGGTCTTTATCTACATACTAGGTGGAGCCCAAAGGAAAAGAACCTCTCAAAAGTGCCATTGTACCACCTAAAAGCCAGGATTCTGTTTACTATGCCAAAAAGAAGAGGAAGACAGCACTGGGACCTTTAGCTCAAAGCGGTGCAGGTAATAGGTGTTCATCTCCCACAGGCTATGAAAAGTGCGCTCTCTCTCTCTCTCTCTTTTTCTCTCTCTGTATGTGTGCATATGTGGTATGTGTGGTGTGTTTAGTGTGTGTGTGTGTGCATATTGTGTGTGTGTATGTATGGTGTGTGTGGTCTGTGTGTGTATATGCTTGATGTGTGGTGTATGTATGTGTATAGGTATGGTGTATGTGGTGTATGTGTGTATATAGTGTGTATATGTATAGTGTGTGGTGTGTACATGTATAGTGTGTATATATATATATTTTAAATAAAATTTATATATTTCAATATCAGAAAATAATAACTGGTAGAACAACTCAGAAGATTAATTAAAAATACAAGATCAAGTGGTATTACGAGATGTTATCTATGGCAGGACTCATACAATAGCAGAAAATATTATTCCTGTGATAGAATGTGTGTGTGTATATATACATACATGTATGGTATATGCACGTATAGTGTGTATATGTATGGTGTGTGTGGTATATGCAAGTATAGTGTGTATATGTTTGACATGTGGTATATGTGTGTGTGTGTATTGTGTGTATATGTATGGGGTATGTGGTATATGTGTGTATAGTGTATATATGTTTGATGTGTATGGTGTATGTATGTATATGGTAAGTATATGTAGGAGGTGTGTGGTATATGTATATGTATAGTGTATATCTGTATGACATGTAAGGTGTATGTGTATTATAGCATGTATACATATGTATGGTGAATGTGATACATATGTGTGTGTATTGTGTGCATATGTATGGTGTATGTTACACACAAGGTCTTTTCTTGGAACTACTTGATTATCAAGTGTTCAACTGTGGGGCAGTAGTAGGCTGTGGACAAGAGCAGTAACATTCCAAAGCTGAAGGCATTAGGAAGACTTAAAAATGTCATATTTAAAGTAAATTCCACATGCACATGCATATGAGGACTATAGATATTCTTGCTGTAAGAACAATATCAAATGAGCCCGACGTCTGAGGGAACCTTGTCCATAGAAGCAATCTAGCTTGTTCCTGTGTATCTTTAGAAGAGAGACCCAGACCTGACCATAAAATGAAATAATTAAAATAGCTCCATGCCTACTCTCATTCTTACTGCTGTACTGTCCCCTCCGCCAAGCCCTGTTGGGTGCTTATGTCAAATGATGTTTTTCCTGAGGTGTGCCTTGCTTTCCAGTCTGACAGACCTGGGGAAGGGCTTGTTGCAGTGTCAGGTTATGGTGCAGACAGGAAGGAGGTGGGAGAAGTCCCTCCTCCAGTGTTCTACAGACAGGAAGCCGGTGGGAGTCCCTCCCACACTCAACAGCATCCGAGTGGTTTGGGAAGCCTCTGGACATAGAAATGCTCAAAATTTCAAGGGTCCAGGACTTTCATGGAGCTGGAAACTCGACAGATATTACAAAAGTGGGGCCCACTGAACTGAGATCTCAATATAAGCAAACACAAAAGAGGAGAGGGGAGAGAGAGGGAAGAAGGATGGATATGCAAATATGCAGGGACCCCATCTGTCTGATGGTACAGGAAAGTCAGAAGCTGCTGAGCTGAAACTTTGTTTCAGAAAATGTAAGTTAGGGATCATTTTTTCTGTTGGTTTGAAAAGATTGTTATTTTTCCTTAGAAGGTGATGTGTATAAAGCACAGACTCCCGCTAAGGAGGCCCAAGAAGCACTGGAAGTCAGGGAGGATCCAGAAGTGAAGGTGGAGGTTCCAGTTGACCAGGTGGGTCGCAAAGGCCTCACCTCCAAGTTCTCCCTGGCCTCTAGAAGGTTCTGTGCTCTAGCAGTTAGCTACTTACCAGTCCTTGAGAGTCCCCATGGCAGACATTTTCATATCTGTTTTTCCTTCCCCAAGTACTTGTGTTGATGGGGCCACTGGGACAACTGTCACCTGGGTGGCAGCAGAATGTCATGTGATTTAAATAGCATTTCTTCTGTACCCCAAGCCAGTTGACCCAGGAACTACCAAAGGAGTCTCCTGCCTCTTTCCTATCTCACAGCAGGAATACTTGGATTACAGATATGCACATCAGCGTCCAGGTCTTATGTGGGTTTTGTGGCTCTAAACTCAGGGCCCCTGACTTATACAGCAAGTACTCTTACTGAGCCATCTCCCTGGACCCTTATTTATTTTTGAGATAGGGACTTGCTAGGCTAGCCTAGGCTGTCCCCAAACTCATGGTCTTCCGGCCTCAACCTCTTAAGCTCTGGGGTTATAGATGTGTTACCACCATGCCCTGCTCCTAGCAATTTTGTTTACATGAAAAGAATTTAGAGACTCTAAAGATTTCTCCATTTTCTCGATGGAGCTGGAGGTAAAATTGGGGTCAACAATTTGGAAAAGCTTCATTACCCCCTTCCAGTTCTGTCTGTAGAACTAGTCTAGAATTGCACACTGGTTTATGTACTCCCTGCTTTTTCACAGGAGTTTGGCACTGATGGTGGCTCAACTTGATAATATGTTTTCTTCCCAGGTACCAGCTGAAATTGTTAAAGAAATTGATGAGATAATTAATGACAACCCTGACCTGGAAAGAGGCAAGGTGAGTGAATTTTAATTTACTTATGATGGTAGGGATCCAAGCCACCTTCTTGTGATAGGCTAGGCAGAACTCCTCGTTGGTGGTAAGGGATCTGGGACTACAGGCTGGTCCCCAGATCACAAATGGGTATCCAAGTGGAAGCACAGTGTATTTTGAGAAGTCACATGGGAAATTCTAATCACCCTTGTACCTGTTTTAATTATTCTTCACTGCACTTCCTATCACAATTGTGTAAGCTTTCCTCCAACAGGAAGGTCAGGGTGGTGAAGTACAGCAGCCTCTGTGTAGGTAGCTCCCTGTAATAAGACAGCCATCCCATACCCACCAATGCGTGCTGTGTCCATAGCCTCTTGCTGGGAGGTCAGGTTTTGTTTAGCTTCCTGCAGATGGCAGCTCAGGTTTGTGCAGCACACCGGGCTGTAGCTTTCTGCTTGTTTTTCCTGTCCAGGTTTTTTGGAAACATCGTCTGGGGAGGCAGTATGTTCCAAGGTTTCTTGAGACCAGGTGGTGACTAGTCTACTTAAGATGTGTACACTGGGAAAACAAAATATACTTTACATAGGTGATCATGATCATGTCTCTAAGAAATGGATGTCTCTGTTTGTTTGCAATATTATTCTGTCTCCAGGTGTTTTTCGAAGTAGTTTGTTTCAGACATTTGGCCAGGCTGAGGGAGAGTGAGATCTTGCTCCAGTCTGGCTGTTCTGACATGGTGCCCTCCACAGCTGCAAGCAAACTCAGGCTTAAGGGTTGCTGAGTGGCTGCTGGACATGCCCTAAGGTCCCTGGCTCTTTACCCAGCTTGGCAAGTGGCCTTTGAAGGAAGGAGAAGGATCCACAGGACATTTGTTAGGTTTTATAAACACACCAGAGGAGATTGGGAATCTCAAAAGAGTCAGAGAGAACGGTACCTTCACAGAGTCCATCCTCTGTACACATCCCGGAAGGGCTTGGGTTTGGGGGTGGTTTTTAGTGAGAGAGGTTACTGTGTGTGTCCAGTACAACAAGGGGTACTTTCAAATGAAGAGCAAAGGTTAACTTTAATTTCTCGGGTGTCACAGAGTAAGGCTGTTCTGGGAATGGGGATAATAATGAAGGAGATAGCCCCAGAGCATCCAAGGGTAAGGGTGAAAGCACTGCCTGTTCCCACAGGGATCATATGGAGACAGGAGACGGTGGTGTTGGGTTCATGGTAGGGCTGCACACGCAGATACATTCTGAAAGCTCTCTGCACAGGTTCTTCATGTCAAGTTCACCCTGTTACACTGACTCACCATGAATATATGTGCAGGCCCCTATAGGGGGTCTCACGGATCAGTCATCTCGTGCCAGTCTATGGCAGATTTAACTTTACAGAGTGATTCAAGATGTCTCCTTTGATGTGAGCAACATTGTTGGAACATTTGCCGATATAAGTGCTCACCTTCAGAGAGCTGGGCCAGACCTAAGTGTTGGGGTGGGAGGTGGCAGAGAGCAGCCATGCCTACTGTTGCCAAGTACTTGGATGTTGATGTGGGGCAGGGTGTGGCAGTAGGGAACATGCTGGGATACCCTAAGTGCTTCTGAGTACCCTGTGTGAGCCACACACTGGTGCTGACATCAACTCTTTAAGGCATCTATAATAAGAAAAAGGGAAAACGATGGAAAATACAGCTTGTCAACAATCTATTGATTGTCTGAAATAAATAGATGGGACTCTGGATTTCTTTTTTTTTAAATTTGTTTTTTAATTTTAAAAGCACTCTTTTCTCATTTTACACACCAATCCCAGTTCCTACTCCTTCCCCTCCTCTTGCTACCACCTCCTTTTCCCTCAACCCACCCCTATCCATTCCTCAGAGAGGCTAAGGCTTCCCATGGGAATCGATGAAGTCTGGCACATCTCTTTGAGGCAGAACCAAGTCCCCTATATCTAGACTGAACAAGGCATCCTTCCAAAGAGAATGGGCTCCAAAAAGCCAGTTCAGGCACTAGGGATAAATTCTGGTTCCACTCCCAGCGGCCCCACAGTCTGCCCAAGCCATACTACCGTCGCCCACGTTCAGAGGGCCTAGTTTGGTCCTATGCAGACTTTCCTGCTGTCAGTTCAGAGTCATTGAACTAGTTCAGGTCAGCTGTTTCCGTGGGTTTCCCCAAACCGGTCTTGACATCTCTCATGTTATCGCTCCTCCCTCTTTTCGACTGGATGCTGGAAGCTTGACCAGTGCTTAGCTGTGGATTTCTGCACCTGCTTCCATCAGTTATTGGATGAAAGTTCTATGATTATAGTTCAGGTAGTCATCAATCTGATTACAGGGGAAGGCCAGTAAAGAGACCCTCTTCACTGATGCTTAGGGTCTTAGCTGGGGTCGTTCTTGTGGGTTCCTGGTAATTTCCCTAGTGCCAGGTTTCTCCATAGCCCCATAATGACTCCCTCAATCAAGATATCTCTTTCCTTGTTCTCCCTCTCTAGAATCTGGATTTCAACACAGATTTGAACCACACCAAAGGCTGAGTATTTATTCCCTGCAATGAGCCAAACGGATTACTAGTTTTTGTTTTCTCAGATATCTTCTGTCAGGGTTCACTGTCCATTTCTCATGAACAGGGCAGAATCAACTGCCTGGTGCTATGTCTGGGAGCTTTCAGTTATTCCAAGTCTGTAGCCTCTCTTTTTGCTTCCTGGTACATCCTTCACAAGTGTTACCTCTGCGCTCTTTGGATATTGGTATGAAACACCCCATACCCTTGAGAGAATCTGACCTCCAAATTTAGCCATGTCTTGGAAGGTTCTTAGTGGTCTAGCATTTTATGTGCATTATAATAGCCAGTGATGATACTGAGAGAGAAGTCACACTCCACTGACCTTTCCTGGCCAGCAGGCCACTGTGCTCCCTGCCCATTCTCTGGATCACTTGTACATTTGTTGGTAAGTTTATTTTTAGGGCGTCTGAGACTGACTACATAAAGTTTCTTAGACACACTATTGCTGGCCTGGCCACTTTTGAGATGGGCTGTGAAGTCCTTAAGCAGTTGGAATGGTCTCATCATTTTACATGTCTTCCAGACTATCTTAAAAAAAAACAAAACTTTCTTTTTATTTAATCTTTGTGTCTTTCACAACAGTCTCATTCATTTCCTGTCCCTGCATATCTGCCTCTGCCCTTGCAGCCCCCCCAATAAAATTTAAGAGGAAAAAAAGAAAAGAAAAAAGAGGGGAAAAATCTCATCATGGAAGCTGTAGTGTGACATAGTGGGTTGTGCAGTAAACTTTTTTCCCATATATCTTTACTTGCAAGTGTTCATTGCAAAGAGTCACTGTTTCAGACTGCTACATTCAGTTAAAAAGGATCTATGGATTTGACTTGAGCTACCTATAACCAAGCCACTCAAATTTAAGTAAATAATACAATCCAAGAATAAAATACTAGTTACCTTGTGAAGCTGTAAGAGATGTTGTTAGAAGGAACAATATCTTAAATATGTTTTTGATATTTGATCACAGAATTTCTGTGGTCATTGTTTTGGTGTTAAATGTATAAACTCTGATTTTTGATAGTTTTTAAGCATCAAATCTAGCAGCATTACTTATAATCATGATGCTAGACACAGTCCATGCCTAAGGCAGTTTCATCCACCATACTTTTCTGCCCTGGAAGCAGGCTCCCTCTCCCCTCTCCTCTAGCTCCAACGCTCAGCATGGAGCCCTTGACACAGCCTCAGCCTGAAAGGGTTTTTTAGATGCTTTCATTAGAATGGGACCCTCCTTAGACCTCTGCCCAGGAGTTGTAGACAAGTGTGTTAATTTTGTCATTATATGTGCAAAATAAAAATAAACAAGAAATAGAACCATGTTTCCGTGTGAGAGTTCTTCCTCCTCAGGACCCTGGGAATAGGCTAAGTGTACAGTCACAGCTACCCTGACAATATCCATGTTCAATACTGTCTCCATCATCAAGGTGGGATGTTGCCAACAGTAACAAATGTGAAGAATGAAATGTGTACTTTGTCCTTTTACCTACTGCAAATTGTCTTCATTGAACATGACTTTAATTACAATGGGTGAGTACTGTTGGACTCAGGGTGGACTGGAATATTCTCTAGCTCTTAAAAAATCACATTGTTTGTTTGTTTATTTATTATATGCACACATGTGGAGGTCTAAGGGCAATTTGTATGAATCACTTCTTTCCTTCTACCATATAGACCCTGGGAATGGAACTCATATCATCAAGTTGGTGGGAGGCACCTTTACTAGCTCAGTCACCTCACTGGCCCTGTTCTCCAGATCCTCTAGCTTGCTCTTAATAGTCCCACTGACCGTAAATGATTTATGGAGAAGCAACACTTTAAAAATCTAAACTACCTGCTAATTTTTGTAAAACCAAATGTAAAGATTTTGGAAACATTAATTTCCTTTGTTGAATGTAGAAGAAAGTCTGACTGGCAGGCTGAATGATGTAGGCACAGATCACATAAGACTGCGAAGATTATATTTTAAAAGTTCAATATTGTGGGTATGTGTGTATCTGTGTAGGGATTTGTACACATGGGTGCAGTGCCTGTGGAGGCCAGGAGAGGGCGTCAGATCCCCTGGAGCTGGAGTTATAGACAGTTGTGAGCCTCCTGACATGGGTGCTGGGAACCAAATTCTGGTCCTCTTTAAGAACAGGAAGCTCTTGTAACCCCTGAGCCATCTCCACCCCCTTGGTGCAGCCTTTCAGAAGGGGAATTTTGCCTTTTTTATTAGGATTAAATCTGCAATAATCATTTTTAGCTATCAAGAAAATAACTAGGGATTGTCCTCAAGTATTAATAATAAATGATAGGGACAAACATGGCACTTACCCATGGGAGTTGGCTAATTTGTGATTCTGCCGTAGAATGGAAGAACAGATGACTGTGAAAACTGTAGGTTAACCTGGCCATTATGGAAGGGTAGGAGTTCTCAGAGGTAAATCAAGCAAAACCAAACCAAAGTGCAACAGCATAGGAGGTTGTCACCTTTGTGTGGCTGTGAGCACATACAGGTAGAACAAAGGAAGAAAGGACTTTGGTGGCTCCTGGTCTCAGAGGTTCCCATCATGGCAGCGATGATATAGTGTAGTCTGTGGTGGTAGGAGCATATCCTGTATCAGGAAGCAGAGAGGAGACTAGAACCTGGGAAGCATATAACCTTCCAAGACCCTCCCCAATGGATCCAATTCTTCTAGGTCTAAGTTCCTAAAGACTCCATAGCTTCCCTAGACAGCCCCAACAGCTGGAGACCAGGTCTGTGGGGGGCATTTCCACACTCTAATCCAATAAACAGCTAAGATACTATATGTAAAAACAAAACAAAAGTTTAGAAAAATATAGTGCTGAAGGAAAAGGGAAGAGAAATCAGGAGGAACAAGACAAGGGGATAGCAGTCTGGAGCTGGCTTGGGACTTTGCATGAAAACCTGTGGTATTGTTGATGTGGAAGGATTTGAGCTAACTGCTTCGGTAAGAGGAGATGGGGGAGGTTAAGAATTTATTTATGGCACTTTTTC